TTTTCTATGGTCTTTTGGTGAGCCCATTTACACTCATGCACTGTAGTAATGCACACATCTAAGCGCTGTGCTTTTTGGTGCCATTCATTTTAAATGACACTACATTGCACCTAGTTATCACACAGCAATGCACATGCAATTGTTATAGATTCTGTATCATACATTTACTTTGGTAACTATGTCATACAAATGGGTACAGTATCAGTGGTATATAACCGTAGAATATGGTATATCTGGAATTCAATACACCTATCCCATCTGTACTTTAAATAAAGCAATACACAGGTGTATTCAATGGAGAGGTTTTATTCTTAAGTTTAACATCTTAAGCATACCTCCGAACTGTCCCTTATTTGGAACCCAATCCCTCTGTCCCACATTCCTCCTCAGTTGTCCCTCCTTTTTCATCTGATGTACAGATATCTATGAAACGGTTCTATTTTACTGCCAAAAGGTGTTATTCTGCATTAAACCATTGAACTTATCTCTCAATTATTTAGATTGCAAGCCCTCACGGGCAGGGCCCTCCTTACCATCTTGTCTTGAATCGTATTGTAATGTCTTACTTATATTGTAAAGCGCTGCGCAAACTGTTGGCGCTATATAAATCCTGCATAATAATAAGAATGATAATTACTGTATCTTGTAAGTTATTTTAAAAAGCCAGTATAAAGAAAAAAAACAATTCTGGGTTTAACCAATAATTTTCTGCATTTAAATTCCTAATGGGCCGCATAACTGGAGACGTAACAAAGGTCTGCCCCTTACCAAAATACATTGAGTTTAATGGTGTCCCATCTCAGAGAGTTGTGGGATATAGTCTTAAGTACAGTACCAATCAGAATCCAACTTATAATGGTCTGCCCAGCTCAACTCTAATGACTTCACTGAAAGCCAAGCTCCACTGAAACGTTTTTATCTCCTGTTAAATAAAGTCTGTGTTCTGTGTCCTTATTGGGGGCCCTCTCAATTCCCGTCAGGACAGAAACCTACAATGATAGGAAATGTCTCCAAAAAGGTGACACAGACAACCATTTTTAATAAACTGAGAAAAGGTTTGAACATTGGACAATATTTTTTATTGCTGTCCATGCTTTTCTGTCCTGATGACAACTGCTCTCCCGCTCTTTGTAACAATACCACAGGGACAGGAAGGGAGTGAAAAAAATCTCCCCAATGGAATCACAGACAGAAGAAAAAAAATCTGAAAGAAAATGTTATTCTTCCCTATTCTTTACTGATAGAGGAAGCAGTGTCATCTTAAAATATGATTTGGCTTCCCATTTGTATAGTAAAATGAAAAAAAATGAAGTTACATTCTGTGACTGATTATTGCTATATCACTGCATAATATAGGGAAATGGCCTGAGGCAACTTGGTGAGAAAATCAATAACAGGGCCACAATATTAACGGCAATCCACACATGACTCCAAAGACATGTCTTCCTTGACTAGGGTGTTAAGCAGAAAATCACATCGCTTAGTATTCTCTGTCAAATCAAAATGAGTGAGTGAGCGGAGGAATATTTGACATCAGTGACACAGTAGAAAGCAGTAGAGTGGTTGTTCCAGTCTATGCTTCCTGCACAGGCGTACTGCAGTGTGTCCTTGGCACCTCTGACTAATGTACATTATATTTCTGTTATACACTAGATTGCAGTAGTGGCAAGAGCACAGAATACAATATACATTCCTGCTTTAAGACATCAAGCCTTTTGTACTGGCTGCCTCCCAAGCTTTTAGTGAACTGAATCAGCAATACAAGAGATTCAATATCCGACACGCTATCACTCCAAATTGCAACTGGCCAGTTAAAGGAATATCAAGTGCCCTGGCTGCACCAAAGCAGCATGGGGCTGAGAACGTTCACTCGATAAATTATATAAAGATTCACTTCAATTATCTGATGATGTGCAGATGAAATAGGTAAATGGAGATTGCTTTTCACATAATTGGATAATGGAAATAAACCTTCATGCAATCTATTGAGAATATATACATTCTCTAATCTTTTAGTAAGCCCCCTTCATACTTGTGAGGGTGCAATAGTGTGTTTTTGTGTACAGGGCTGCCCGGTCATTTCAATAAGCTGCACTATGCAAGTTAATTGCACCAATTGCTACAAAAAAAAGTCCCTGCACTTTTTTTTTTTTTTTTGAAACGTGCCGCAACTTGGTACTGTGTTATCTTGCTTCTTGGTAAGAATTCATGCACCTAAATGTGCACGGTGCAGCAAGGTACACTGGGGTGCCATTAACAATGAATGGCAGCACAGCCCATCTTACAAATTGACACATTTTTGCGCAGATTGCCACAGCATACAGATGTGAATGGGGGCTTAATCAGCCTCATTGCGTTACAGTGGTGGGCATATTTACCAGTAGTTTGCCATTTAAGTTAATGGAACCTTTTATAACCACAACAGATTGGGGTTGATTTACTAAAGGAAAATAGGCTGTTTACTTGGCAAGGGTATTTTCCCTTAGATTAGTGAAAGTGGTGAAAATGTACTTTGCAAAGAATACCCACTCACATGCAAGAATTTTTTTTTTAAAGTACTTTCGCTTACACATTATTGGATAATGGAAGTCAGCAGAGCTTCACCTCATTCACTAAACAAAAGGTACAATTTCCTTGCAAAGTGAACAGCCTTTTTCCGTTAGTCAATCCCATAATAACACATTACATCACACACATGTCCTGTTGTCAATGCGCTCAAAGCTAAAAAAAATAAGTTGTACACTGTAGCTTCACCAGAGCTTCCAGATGTGCTATCCCCTGTCACATATACCACATATGTCAGAACACCAATCCAGACCCCTGCAAACTGTTCCAAAATCTTCATTTTACTTCCACCTTACGTCTATAGCATGAAAAATCATATTCCTGTCTATATCTATATAATGTTTTTTGTAACATAGGTATTTTAGGGTATAGTATACATTGATGGACCTTAGACACCCCCAATCTGGCACTGTAGCATGAAATATAAAGTTAATCTTAGTCACAAGTGGGTTCCATTTAGTCCACTCACTTTTCAGTGGCTAAGCCCCCATTCATACTTGAGAAGCACATTTGCCACGCATTGAGCAGTTCATTAATTTCAATGGACTACCTGCATGGCAAAGAAGCACATGCTCCTTTTTGAGCTTGACGGCTTTGGGGTGCCATTATTGATACACCACAAGCGGGATTTTGCACATGTTCCCTGGTGTAAATGGTAATGGAAAACAGAAGGAACTGCATTTTTCTTTGGAAGACCATCTTCAAAAATAAATGGTTGCAAAAATGATTTTAAAAGGAAAGCGAAATAAATGTTGTATATCAACAAATTCAGCATATTTGTATATGCTATATAATGCAAAATAGATCATGTGCAAAATATACATGACTATAAAGTGTATATATGCCATATAAATATTAGAACAATATATACTGTCAGTGAATATTATACTTGGGGAGGTGTGGTTTAGGTATTCCAAACAGTCATGCAACATATTCAAAGACTAGTTTCTTTACTCTATATTTGGAATGTAAACTTGTCTTTTTTCAATAACGTACTGCAAAGAGCACCGTAATAAGCAGTTACTTATAGCAACTGCAGAATACCATTTCAGCATACTTAAGCTACAGATAGCTGATTGGTTTCTATGACTCATTACACATAAATGTTTCTTGTAGCACCAGGATGGTAAGCTTATAATCAAATCTTTTATCCTTATTGTTCTTTGCATGGCTTTGATAATTGAAGATGTTGAGATATATTAAATGTTTTCTCAGGTAAGCATAAAAATTGTATGTTCTATTGAATACAAATGTAAATCCCACAAGGCTAAGTCATTAGCAAACACCATAGGAGAACCACTCTGTTCCCTGAATGCCCCATCCCTCTTGCACATGAAATAGAGCCATCCAACTTTCACAAACCAATTTTGTTTTTACCATAAGTCACAGGTTCCCAGCAGCATTAATCTCCCTGATCAGGGTAGTGTGCCTTATTATTCATTGCTTCCCCAGACTCAAATCAACCATCTGCCAACCTCGGTCCTGCTGTACATTAATTAAGGGGCCATCAATCAGTAAAAAGCAAGCGGTTGCAAAAGAGCACTGACACTTGAGTGTGGAACGCTAGTAGTTAAGGTGGATGATCTGTGCGGTACAGCTCAGGTGAATCATGTATCTCTTAATTGGAGAGTTAGTAGCAATTGATTGTGGATGAAAGCTGTCAAAGTCGGCAGTATAAAACACAATAATATTATTATAGTAGGTTTACTCTATATTATTAAAAAGATTGTTATAGAAAATATAAACATTCTACCAATAGTAAAAGCTGACCTGACACATACAAAGCAGATGTACATGATGGTCAGCATTTTTTTTTTATATTTAACCTGTTCCTTAACAATGCATGTTAAATACAATCCTCAGGAAGAATATATTATATGAACTAACTCCCACTGCCAGAAACAGAAGAAGCATATGGTACAATGTGTCATAGTAAAACTAATTAGGAAGAAGAAATCTTCATAAACAATGAGGAAAGAGGAAAATTTTTCCTGTAAACCCTGGGAAGAGGGAAACGATAAACACTACATTGACTGACATGAGGTGGAAGAGTTTCTGAGATAAATAGATAGATAGATAGATAGATAGATAGATAGATAGATAGATAGATAGATAGATATTGAATAGATAGGATAGATAGGTAGAGATAGATAGACGATTTAGGTGTGTTTATTTCAGTAAACACAACTTTGTAAAGTGTACTGAAACACTGGCAGCAACACACTGTATCTTAGGAACAGATAATTTTATCTATGAGAAGGGAAGCTCCCTCTCTCCTACTGTTTAAAGATCATTAATAAGGCATTAGCATATACTGTAGGGACAGACAAAGGACAGCCAAATCCATACACATTAACAAGGACAGAGAGGCCACAGCTGTAGATGAAGATGAGGATGATGAAGAGTGCACACATAACAATGTATAGTGACATTACCTTGGAAAAGGTAGGCTCTGCTGCTGTTGTGAAGTCCTTGAACCTGGTGCACTCCAGGGGTGGCCTCCCCCAGCTGGAACTCCTCAAGGATATCAATCTGTAGGGAGGGGTCCACACCAAAGCCTGCAACTGACCCAACAAAAGCGACATCCGCCAATTACACACCAAAACTAACATGCATTGTTTGTGCATAGCTTACAGTGTTAACCCCCCAGCACTAGCTAAGCCATCAGTACCTGTTAAAGGCTGCAGCTTTTTATAGAACACAAAGAATATACACCCTGTCTCCAAGAACTGACCTACTTTACTGGGGGTCCAAAAACTTATTTCTTATATTATCTTTTCTTGTAATCTAATTCTATACAGTTCAGCCCTTGCTGTGCTATGTATAGAAACATACCTCATACTTGTTTCTCCAGCAGCAGAAAGAAAGAAAGGCTTCTCTTACCTGGTTTGAGGCAAGCGATAAGACAAACGATGCCCACAATTAACTGCATGTTGGTGAGGAGGATACACTCAGTCCATAGTCTCTCCTGCTTTGGGGAAGCTCCGGTGATCTCGCTGAAGATTGCTCCTTCCTAACACGACACAGGGAGCAGCCAGCAGATGAGCCAGCAACTTGGATTCCCCAAAGCTCGCATGATTCCTGAGCAAAGCAGATCCAGGAGAGGAGGAACACTAGTTTAACCCAATGATGCACACACAGCCCGACTTTAATCCACAGCCTGGGACCGCAGCACATACAACGGAGCAAGGCAGTCGGGGAAAGCCTCAGCCCGAACCTGTTACAGACAATGGATATCCCCTTTACGTCTGAGGGATGCTGAAGCAGGGCACTTTAATTGCTACTCCAGGGATTTGGAGGAGGGGAACAGGGACAGGCTGCTATGTCCCTTTCTCTCAGGGTCTGAACAATTGCTCCTTCCACCAGCTGATCAGAGCATTCTGTACGCAGCATCTCAGTGATCAGCAGGAGTGCTTACAGGTTGTGTCCTCCTATGATTGGCAGGGGGTGGGCAATGCATGACTTGATGGGTAGAGCTGGGCATCCCTGAGCTAAAATGTGTGTGCCTACAAAATATTACATTTGGGTAGCCCTGAGCTTAGCTTCATTGTACATTTGGCCAGCCCTGATTAAAGCTGTGTGTCTCTACAGGGAAAACACACATTAGGGCATCCCTGAGTTTTAACATTGCTATAAGAGTGGTAGGATGGTAGAAGCATTAAAGTGACACTAAACTTAGAAGTTAAATCTTGAAAATGCATTCAAGTAACTTAACTATTAACAAAAATAGATCTTATTTGTGTATCACTTGGCATTAGATCCTCAAATCATCTCTGAATTCATGCTGCCACTGTCCTTCCTTCTGGAGGGCGACTACTTTTGTTCCCCATGGTCCTTGTGTGTGTTGTAATGTAGTCACTGCTCCAACTTCACTTCTGGGAGGGACTACAAATCTCATGTTTAGTTTACTAACAGCATATTTTGAAGGGCTGCTCGGTGTGAGAATGGTCAGTACTGCTCTAGGGGGAGGGGGAGGAGCCTCTCGCCTAGAAAAATGGAAGGCATGTGGTGACCCACTAAACACAGGGCCGCGACCCACTTTTGGGTCACGACACACCAGTTGAGAACCAAGGCTCTAGAACATAACTGGACTGACATATATACACCAGGCAATGCCTGCTATAAGCAAGAAACTAAAAGCATTGGGAGTATATTACACTTTAAATGCAGAGAAAGTATAGTGGGGGGAATTTATCAAAACTGGAGCAGACAAAATCTGGAGCAGTTGCCCAGGGCAACCAATAAAGTGCTCTCTTCAGTTTGTTTAGTTAAAATTTAAAAATGCAAGAGAGAAGCTGGTTGGTTGCCATGGGCAACTGCTAGAGAATTTTGTCTGCTCCAGTTTTGATAAATCCCCCTCAGTGTATTTGTATTAAAACACATTTGGGGGTGTTGCAGGGTTTACCTTAAAGTAGTATTATGCTCTCAAAGTTTTTTCAAAAGTGAATCCAGATCAAACAAATATACAATGTCCAGCAAAGTATTTCTTTACATTTTTGCCCAAGCACTTACAGTCATTGGGGGGAATTTATCAAAACTGGAGCAGACAGAATCTGGAGAAGTTGCCCATGGCAACCAATCAGCATCTCTCTTCAGCTTACTCAGTTGAGATTTGAAAATGAGAGATAGACGCTGATTGGTTGCAATGCAAATCTGCTCAAGATTTTGTCTGCTCCAGTTTTGATAAATTCCAGCAGCTCTCTATCTACCAGCATAGAGAAGGAAAACGGGAGGAGGGAGGAGCCGGGAGCAGGGGGGAGTGCCTGTGTGTTTGTGGAGAAAAACTCAGCTTACTAGCATATACAAGGGTGGCTCCACAGGACCCTGAAAAGGAAAAGGATACAGTCCACATACCCATCATACCCAAACCACTGTTCCAAAATGATAAAGTGGGCGATAAAAACGGATGTCGACGGATGGCAACATTCAGAATACATAAGTAGAAATATGGATACTGCACTGAGTATATTATGCTATGCTGCATATGCGTCAATAAATACACGTATTTGATTTGCCATTTAGTGCCAGTGTCCATATTTCTACTTATGAAAGGGAAAGGAGCCACCTAAAACAGCATATCAGGACCAGTGTTTAGGGCACCAGCGGATTCTACAGGAAGCTAAAACTTTTAAACAAGTACCAGCATCCATTGTAAATGATAAATTCAGAATCTGAAATCACTTAAAAACATTTTGACTTTAATATCACTTTAAATTAACCACTTCCTGGCCACAAAACTATAGACAGCGGCCCGCAGAAGTGGTTAAAACAAGAACACGGCTGCTGCAGCAGCCATGTTCTTGGTGTCATTTTTAACAGCCAGCGATGGGTGTTAAAGTACAAGTGATCAGGCGTGTGTACAGCCGCCAGATCATTTGTACCGTGCGGCGCCCTCCCGTGTATTACATCACTTTCGGTGTCACTATTTACAGTCTCCGGGTCCTAGAGCCAGGAGAAGAAGCTTCGGAAGCAGGTCTCTGCTTCCTTAGCTTCTTTGGGGTCTCCATAAAGAGGACCTGTCACACCCTATCTGCTATTACATAGGGGATTTCTTAGCCCCCTATGTGACAGTAATATGGTTAGTGTCAAAATAAAAAAACGAAAGTAACATACAAGGAAAAAAAAATTAAAGTCCCCCTCTCCCCACGTGCACGCACATACACACGCATACACACATTGGTGCCCTTATGTGCGAAAACGACAATTGCGCTACACATGTTACGTATCGCCACGAACGTCGGAGTGAGAGCCATAATTCTAGGGCCATCAATCACTGTTAGCACTAAACTGATGAGTGTTAAAAGAGTTTAAAGTGTTCCCTATGGGAAATTTTGGGTGTTGACGTTTTTGCGGCTTGGCGAGCGAACGCAATTTTAAGGCTTGACATGTTTGGTATCTATTTACCCAATGTGACCCCAAATTTTATATTTTACAAAAAAAATGGGTATTGTATTATGTTTCTGTGCACTACATTTTAATTTAGTTTATTTTTTCCTAAACATACTGGTTTGATAAACATTTGCACAAAAACCGTGCAACATAAAAAAAATTGCAACTAGCATTTATTTATTCTACTGGGCCTCTGCTTTCAGAACATATATCATGTTTGGGTGCACTTAGCATTTTTGTATTCTACTGGGCCTCTGCTTTCAGAACATATATCATTGTTTGGGGGTTTGAAGCTGTTTTCTAGCCAAAAATGTATATTTTATCATGTGTGTGCAAATAGTAAGAAAATGCTCCGGACAATTAGCAAGTCCTTGTTCTGCTATATAATATATTCTATTATATATAAATAATAGACATGTACATTCGGATGAACCTGCAAATCAACGAAAATCAGTTGATTCGGTGGTTCTTCCGAATCTAAAATAACGAATTTAATATATGCCCGAATATACGTTTTCAAAACACTTGTTCTGCGCATGTCCGCCGCCATATGGGAGGCGGAGCGCGTGACGTCACATAACAATGACGTCACTATTGTCACAGGTCTGCTAGAACTATGAGGTGAGTGGAAATCACTCATCTCATAGTTCTCCTTTAAAGCAAATCTGTTGCTACAACAAAAAAAAGAGGCCTCCCTGTAAAGAAAATAACAATACCGACCTGTCCTGCCACCCACTCCACCAGTCTTTAATGTTTTGAAGATATATGCTTTGTAAGGGATCTTCAGCTTAAGACATACTTACAGGTATGTTGGATGCCTAGTACCCCGCAATGCATTGTGGTTTCATCTGCTGCCCCCTAAGGTACTACCATATTCTGTAATAATATAAGGGCTGGCTAATTAAATCAGATTCTCTATAAGAAGAGTGCGACCATGATCATTGCAAATCATACATAGGAACAAAATATTAAAATATGAAAACACTTTAATAACATAAGTTACTGATTTATTTTTTTTACACATACAGTATATCTTAAAAAATGATTGAAAGGACAAACATTTCTATTATGCATATTTTTTAGCATTTTCATAGTGTTGGCACCTTTTAACACATTGGGGTTTATTTTTGCAACATCTCAGCACACATTTTCTGAGAGGATGAAACATTCTACTTTGCCTGTGTAGCTGCATTTCTAAAACACAGTGCATTCTACATGCAGAACCAACCATCCCTATTGATGGAAATAGGCTAAAGTTTACTTTAAAAAGCTAAATAATTCACGCAAAAAATACATTGGTGAGAGCTCTATCTTAGAGGAGGGTGGTAAACACATCATGGGGCCTAGTTATCAAATGGCCGAATGAGTTTTTAAGTGCCTCCATCCAGTGCAGTGAGATCCATCCAGTGGCCATATTGCGCTTTGTATCTTGTTTGCAGAGATGTTCGCTCTGCAAACGGTTTATAAATACACCCCCATGTGTTTGGATACAGTTTTAGCTGTTGGAAAACATACTTAAAGGTGAGAAATGCAAATGGAACCTAATTATTTGCACTTGGTTATATAGTAGTTCAAACATTGGAAAAAAAATGACGTTTTCATGCATGGCTGTGAGGATCTGGATTAATATTACAACATAATTTCACATTGGGTTTAGCTATTTTGAATAACTATGTGTAGTGTCCCAGGAGAGGGTACTTTTTGCTAGATGGTTGTACATGAAAGCAGAAGGCACCATATAATCTAATTCAGATCATACAATCAACGGCGATGATTTTCCAACATTTTATTATTATATTATACAGGACTTATATAGCGCCAACAGTTTGTGCAGCACTTTACAAAATGGGGGACACAGTACAATTCAGTACAAAAGGTTTAGCAGGGCCCTGCTCATGAGAGCTTACAATCTAGTAGGATGCCATTTTTTTTAAACAAAAAGGAAGTTGTTCTTAACCACTTGAAGACAACCGTATTATACCCCCCTTCCTGGCCAGGCCATTTTTCAGTATTCAATGCGGCGGTGCTTTGACTGATGTTTATTCCGTCATGCAACGCTGTACTGAAACGAATTTTATACCATTTTTTGGGGGCAGAGAGAGCTTTCTTTTGGTGGTTTTTAATCACCCTGGGGTTTTAATTGTTTACTTTACTTAAATGTTATGAAACAATTATTATCACCCCAATTCTTTGTTAAAATATAAAAGACGGGGTCACGTCGGGTAAATAGACACCAAACATGTCAAGCCTTAAAATTTGCGT